GTTACACATGATATTTGGGACAGACCATCTATTACGGTAGATGAATCATTTGCATATATGATTATAGAGGCCTTTTCTTGCGAGGAAGACGATCCTGAACCTCAAACCGTAGAAGAGGCGATGCGTCGCTCTGATTGGTCAAAATGGAAAACTACTATTAAGGAAGAGTATGCCTCTTTGCATAAGAGGAAAGTCTTTGGTCCAATTATAGATACTCTTACATCTCACCCTGTGGGATATAAAATGGTATTAATATGCAAGCGAGATGCTCAAGGCCAAATAATCTGCTATAAAGCTCGTCTTGTTGCTCAAGGATTTTCTCAACGATTTAGCATTGATTATAAATCCACATATTTTCTAGTCATGGATTCAATTACATTTCGATATATTATTGGAATGATAGTTCATGCCACCCTTGAGATGCATCTGATGGATGTAGTTACTTCATATCTATATGGTTCTCTTGATGCAAATATTTATATGAAAGTTCCACCTGGCTTAGAAACAGGAACTCCAAATCAACCCGCTTCAGGAAAATATCGTGGTATTAAATTATGTAAGGCCTTGTATGGTTTAAAACAATCTGGACGAATGTGGTATCAACGTCTTCGAGATTATTTAATTAAAAATAATTTTATAAGTGATCGACTAATCCCTTCTTTCTTTATCAAACGAGATAAAACTGGTTTTGTGATCATCGCTATATATGTTGATGATCTTAACCTAGTGGGCACTACATCTGCATGTGTTACAGCTACAAACCTACTTATACATGAATTTGAGATGAAAATGCTAGGAAAAATAACTTTCTGCATTGGTCTTCAGATTATGCATCTTACAGATGGTAGCATTTTTCTCTACCAACTAACGTATATTAGACGAATTTTGGAAAAAATTTAATATGAATGATGCTTATCTATTGTCTACACCAATGGTTGGACGTGGTCGTGATGGTCATGATCCATACCGTCCATGCGATGAGGAGGAGGAAATATTGGGAGACCAATATCCATACCTCGCAGCAGTTGGAGCACTTTTGTATTTAGCTACATCTACAAGACCAGATATTGCATTTGTAGTTAGTGTTCTTGCAAAACATAGTGCACGTTCAACACTACGACATTGGAATGGCATCAAACATTTATTACATTATTTAAAAGGTACTGAAGACTTGGAATTATATTACACAAAATCTGCAGATCTAAAATTAATTGGATATTGTGATGCAGGATATAAATCTGATATTGCAACAACTAAATCTCCAACAGGATATGTATTTTTAAGACATAGAGCTGCAATATCATGGAAATCAGTAAAACAAACAATAACTGCAACTTCATCCAACCATGCAGAAATTATTGCCTTACATAAAGCATCCTAAGAATGTATTTGGTTGCGATCAATTGATAAATTCATTTAAACAACCTGTGGATTTTCATATGATGATTCTCCAACTATCTTGCATGAAGATAATAGTGCTTATATTGCACAGATGCAAGTTGGTTTCATTAAAAGTAACAGGACAAAGCATATTAATCCAAAGTATTTTAGTTATACTCATGACTTGATTACTAATCAAGCACTTATAATTAAAAAAAATTGAATCTATAAATAACCTTGGTGATCTCTTCACCAAAGCTCTCCCATTAAGCAATCATCGTCGACTTACTTATGGCATTGGTATGCGGCGACTTACTTTTCTTCAATAAGAAAGTTAATAAGCTCTTTAAATAATTAAAGAAAATGATGTTGTACTCTTTTTCCTTCCTTTATGGTTTTATCCTTAAATAAAATAAGGTTTTCCTAGATAAGGTTTTAATGAGGCAACAATTCTTGATCTTACAAGATCACAGAAAAGTATAGATCATAAATCTATATAAATTTTATATTATATAAATATTATGATGAGTGAGGAGGAGTGTTGAGATCATTAAATGTAGCCGACGCTCTCCATAATATTTACTGTAGACTATAATAATTATTGTAGCTACAATATTTAGAGTCTAATGGAAAAGTACTGTTCATCCTCTTATCTTCTCTCTTTTTGTGTATGAGACACAACCAGATCAATAGATTTTTGTGTGTGTGAAGCTCTCTCTCCTAAGAAACCCTTGTGTGTGTATGACTTACTACTACTCATGTGTGTGTATGACTTACTATTACTCTTGTGTTTTTCTAAACATTCTCAACACAATTCAATTTAATTCAACATACAAACAGTCCCTCTCCGTGGATTATGAAAAAGTACATAGAAAAGTAGCGTAGTTCTGGAACACCAGCTTCTTTTTACTTTTTGGAAGGTCTCGGCGCTAGTGGATTCTTTGTGAAATAGATTCACATAAGGATTAAATTTTACATAAGGAATCATTTAACGTTTTCAGTTTGTTGTGAATAAAAATGTGATATGTTTTGTTCATCGTTTTCTTTTCTTTTCTACCTTTCTTTCTTTCATCTTTTTAAAAATCATTGTATTTAAGGAATTGGTATTTTATTTAATTAATTTATTAGTTTATTTTAATTTAAAATTATTGATATATATATATATATATATATATATATAAGTAAATTTTAATTTAACTTTAAAATATGTTGTTTGTATGACAAAAGAATTAGAGAATTTGAGTCTCTACTAGAACTAAAAATATATGTGTGTATATATATATATATATAAATTTCCAATTAGAAAATAAATCAGGTTTGAATAAAAAAATATTTACAACAACATTACTAAAAAAATATTAATTAAAACTTAATTTTAGTATCAACCAATAATCAATCGTAGATCTTTAATTAAAGATTTTTTTTAAAAAAAATTGTTAAAAAGTTCAATATTACAATGATAGTATAAAAATATCCAAAATTTATACAAAAAAAGAGAAAAGAGCCAATTATAATATCCAATTAATTGCATTCATTTAACAATTAAAGTAGATGTGATTTTTTTTTTAAATCTTATTTAAACCACCAACAAAAAAAATAAATTATATGTGTTCTCAAAACTAACAAGAATCAATAAATGCAACTACATTAAATTTAAAAGATATTTAATTAAGATCATAAACATTGATTGTAATAGATAGCCATATTTATTTGCATATTTAATTAGATAAGTAGAATTAGATAGAAGTAAGTAGAAATAAGTTTGATTCTTGTTATCTTATTGACAAGCTTTATAAAAGCTTCGTAGACTTTATATATGTTTATAATTGATTAAGAGGTCAACAAGTTGGCCACATGTTGCACATTTAGCTATTTGTATCATAAGTTTAGCCATGTGGTGCACATTTTAGAAACTTGTTCTACAAATCAGACATATGTCTTATACATTTGATACATGTCATGTGGCCTATAGGATATTGCCATATAATTCTTTAATAGATAATATATGGAGGCAAGAATAAAGCCTTCTTCACTCTAGTCAAAACCTTTTCTTGTGTTCTTGTTTTAATTGAAGAGTCTTTAGTTTCTTTCTATTTGGCAATTGCCATTCTAGTTTCTATCTTATATCTATTTTTGATTTGTTTAATTTCTCTCTTTCATTGTTACAAGAATATATCATTTTTTTAGAGCTTTTTATAATTTATGTCCTTGATACTATTAAAATTAATTTTGTGGGATTGATATAAATAAAAGTTATAAATCAATAAATAAAATACAAATGAGAATAAATCAGATATGTAGCTCTTAGAAAATTTGCTAAATAGAAATACACAAAAGTCTAAAATCATAATTAAAGACACATTAGAGATTTAAAAAAGACATTACAATTTTTTAATTTATTTAATTCTTGATTATTAAATAAAAACCAAGAAGAATTCTATTTATCATATATACACAATATCATATTTTTAATTTTTTAAAATAATTAATAAATAATAAAATATGACTATATATAATTTTATGGGAGTATGGTTCAATTTATAATTTTTTAAAACTTTTTGATCTACTTTAATCTTAATTGTACAATTCCCTCACAATAGTAGAATTTCATATTAATTTTAAATTATTATATTTTTTTCTAAAGAAATAAGATAAATTTTTACAATTTGTCTAATTGTAATTGAAGCACATGTGATGTGTATGTCTTTCTTTTGTCTTGAGTGGCATGTTACATGATAATAAAAAATTCAAATAATTTTTAAATAATTGTAACTTCACTTACTAATATTTATTCTTAATTTTACATGTATTAATTAATTTGTAAAAAATAAGTTACAACTTCACTAACAATGAACATTTTTTTGATTTTTATCTAGCAAGAATCACACAAACCTATTCCATCATTATTGTAAAAAGTAAAGACTTAATAAAATGAAAATTAAGAACTAGTTTCTAAAAAGATAAACAAATATAACACATGGAATTTAATACAAAAAGAATACATTTTTCATGTTGTTTAAGTTTTTCTTTTGTTATTTTACACTGTCATTTATCAAATAAATAATTTACAAAATATAATTGAAAAATTAAGAATAAAAAAAATAAATTCTAAACCGTGTATATATATATATATATATATAAATGAATAATTAACAAAAGGAATGCAAAGAATTTCATTTAAATTGTCATTATGTCTAATACATTAAAGTATAGTATTTTAAACATTCTTAGTTCTTCAATTTTTGGTTCATATATAATAAATCATAACCAAGGATCAGCATTATCAAAATAATATGATACCAACAAAGCATCTTCATTTCACAACATTGCAAAGTTTTACCGGAAAAAATTATAGGACCCAAATTTACTGAAAGTGGATGAACGGATTCCGTTATTTCGAACAGAGTTAAACTTCATCCAAGGAAGATGAACAGAGCGTCATTATGCGTTCATCTAAAGATTTCATTCTTCTCTTCGTTTAACTCACTAATTTTGTTTTAGCGTCGGGATTAGCGACGCGGTAATTGCGTCGATAACTATGGTTTTTATGCAGATTGGTGCACACTCCAGCGAATTAGTTAAGTAATTCCATGTTAATTTTGTTGTTGTTGTTGTTAGTGCGGTGTCACCTCTCCCCCTGCTTCCGGAGCACAGAACAGATACACACCCATTTACACACATTTACCCACTTGTCGTCGTCTTCTTCTTCTTCAGAAAGCTGAATTCAGGGGAAGCTGTGTCGCGATGCGCGGCGCCGATGCATCGATGGCGAGAGCTGAGATGGTGAAGCAGCTTTGAGACGAGAGTGTGGAGGGTGTTTCGAAATGGATGTGGATGCTTTTCGATCCCATGCGTTAACGACGGTCTTTGCCAGAGGAGGGTTTTAACCACCTTCGATTCTACACCTTCTGTGACATTTGACCTGATTCGTGGATTTGAAGATAGAAAGTGTTGCAGCAGAATTCAGAACCTAGTTATATTTGCTGGAGCATAAAGCAGCCCGAGAGCGCATGCAACGTTGCTGTCAACTCCTTGTGTGCTACATAATAAATCGGAGAAGCACGAGGACGTGGAGTAAGTAGCATTCGACTTGTGGAAGTTGTGCGTTGTTTGTGCCCCGGAGCCGCTGTTGTTGCAGGAGAGAGCGAGAGAGGAAAGGGGTGGAGCAGGGGGATCGGATTTGTAAGCAATTTCTTATCTCTTTTCGTGTTCTTTTCTCTCTTGTTTGTCGAAGTTCCATCGCCTGCCAGTAGGTTAGTGTCTGAGGAACGCATGGTGAGGTTTGTGGTGAATTTTGCTTCCTAGTTGGTAGCCTAATTGCTTAAGAGGATCGAAAATTGCGGAATTGTTGGAGAGCGTTTCTGTTGGACTCGGGCGAACTGTGCTTTCCTCTTGTTGTGTATTTGTGTGGCTTGCGGAGTTCATTTTTATTGGCACCTGCAGCAGGGATTGTTTTGGTTTCGCATTTGTGATTTTGTGATGTTGTTCTGTCATCGTTATCGGTATCCTGCTTTGTCCTCTTGCTTCTTCCTGAAGTACCGACAGCTTCCTAAAACCCGAATCGATAGCACTGAGAAACATGCATGGGATCCTGAAAATTTTAGGCCTTATAACAGCTGAGAGTTGGATTACGAACAAAACAAGTAAAAAAAAAAATAAATAAAAAATAAAATAAGGGAAGAAGAAAAAGGTGAGATCGTGTACTGGAGTTTCTTACAATCCAATTTTATTAAACCATATTTTGCTTGACTTGTTCTGCAGCCAAATGGCCATGGCGATTAATCTGCACCATACCCATGCTCGAGGATTAGCAGAACTACAACGAAGCTCCTCTCCTGATCTTACCCGCGTGCTGCAGCAACGTGCAACTCCAGGTGCTTATATTTCTTTTTATTGACCTACATTTCCATCCTCAATGATTTCCAGTCTAGTTTTTTCAGTATTATTATCATTTTATTGTATTTTATTTATTTCAATCTCCTTGGACAGGAGTATTGTGGTACTGAACCTTTAAAATTGTGCTGCATTCAGGTTGCTCTCCACATTCGTTGCGAAAGATCAGCACATCAATCCCATCTAAAAATTTCAGCCCACGTTTCCGAGATTTGCAAATCGTACCGCTTTGCCATGCATTAACTACTGGTAAATACTCCTGTGACAAAAGAACAATTTCTATTATTACGTACGTACAATTTGGATGCTTTAGGCTCCAGTCGACTGCAATGCTGATGAGTAGTCCCGAAACCGATCGTTTCGTTCAAATTTTTCGAGTGGGGTGCACTAACACCTCAATAGTTCGATTCTCTTTTTGATTTAGTAACTTCAATTTCTGTTTGTAGGGTAGATGTAGGAACAGTTGAAATTTCAAATGACCACATAACTGATGACAGCATTCCAGTGCTCACGTTCCTTGAGGTGATGACCTGATTCCGTACTCTTTTTACAGCCCACTAGAGTTTTTTTTTTTTTTTTTTTTTTTTTTTTTTTTTTGTTTCTTTTAAATGCTGAAAAATGGGTAGGGGCTTGTGGACTTAAAACCATAATGCTTAGAATATTTAGAGTAACAATATTTCTGAAGTATCAGTTACTATCCAAATTAGGTCCACGATTTAGTGGTCCACTTGAATCTCTCACAAAGACTCGATTGCCTTCTACTTCGACCAGGTGACAGAGCGTATGCAGAGCTTGGCAACGACGCGGCCAACCACATTTAGGGCCATGTACTCGAGTGTAATCGGTGGCATAACCACTGATACAGCAGCCATGGTCATTCCCATTGATGATCACATGGTACATCGAGGGCATGGAGTGTTCGACACGGCTATCATCTACAATGGGTAATCTAAGCACGGCGCTCTATGTATGTTAAGAGTTTAGGAGCTATAACAAGGGGAAACTGTGTTTCACTATATTCATTGCAGGGATTTCGATCTAGGTTTATATTGTTGTTTTGCCCTAGCAATTCTACCTAATCTATCAATATCAACTATGACTGGATCTGCCTCGCAGTTTCGGCCTCATTAATGGTCTCTTTCAAATCCCTCTTTCGATGAAAAAACAAATCTCGGATGTCATATTCACTGAAGAAAAATGCCCCCTCATGAAAATGAATGGATTCTAAAGTCATGACAAACACAGTGAATTAGTTTTGATTGGAGTGTTCGTGCACAGGTATCTGTATGAACTTGATGATCATTTGGATCGCATTTTGAGGTCGGCAGAAAAAGCAAAGATACAATCGCCTTTTGACAGAGCAACCTTGAGAGATATACTTGTGCAAACTGTTGCTGCATCAGGATGTCGACGAGGTGCTCTACGCTATTGGCTGTCCGCGGGTTTAGGTGGTTTTGCACTTTCCTCAAAGGAGTGCTTCAAGTCGACCTTCTATGCGATCGTAACAGATAATACATATCAAGGTCCAGAAGGGGTGAAGGTAATGCTGTATTTTATTTTATTTTTATACAATTCTTAAACTCTCTCTCTCTCTCTCTCTCTCTCTCTCTCTCTCTCTCTCTCTCTCTCTCTCTCTCTATATATATATATATATATATATATATATATATATAATTTAAAAGTTCACTTCTTTTTGGCTTTGAATGACTACGTCTCATACTGATGCAAATGTCTGCACTTTTCAGGTGATGACCTCTACGATTCCTATTAAGCCTCCTTTTTTTGCCACTGTCAAGAGCGTCAATTATTTGCCCAATGTACTTGCGCAGTTAGAGGCAGAAGAGAAGGGTTTATACGCGGGGATATGGTTGGACAATGAAGGCTTTATAGCTGAAGGCCCCAACATGAACGTTGCAATTTTGGGCAGCGATGGGGTGTTGCTGATCCCTCCCTTTGACAATGTACTGGCGGGATGTACTGCCCGACGCATGATTGAGTTGGTATCAAGGTTAATAGACAACAAATCGATCCAAAACCTTAACGGTGTCAAGGTGCAGATGATATCAGTAGAGGAAGCTAGATCGGCTTCGGAAATGATGCTGATTGGTAGCGGCGTACTTGTGAAGTCCATCGTTGAGTGGGACGGCCAACCTGTTGGAACTGGTACACTTTCTCCTCATCTTCCCGTCGAGATGGTCCTGAGCAGGAGGCTCTCGAATGAGGTTTACTTGATAATATCGTTTAAGTTAAAAAAAAAAAAAAAAAAAAAAAAAAAAAACATTTCATGTTGGACTTGATTTATGGAATGATATCTCTAACACTTAAACCTTGATTGCAGGAAAAGTAGGTCCACTCACTTTAGCTATTCGGCAGGCAGTACAAAATGATCTGGAAGATCTCACGACTGGGAAACTTGTTTCAGTGCCGTATACAGATGAGTTGTGATATGTTCTTAATGGATACTATCTATGTCGTTTTATGAGCTTAATACGTGTCTTCTTTTACTTCAGAACATCATGCTTCCAGCCTAGCTTAGGAAACAAAGCATTGCAGTGCACCTCAAACTCAGAAACCAGACGCTGCTTAGATGTTAACTTTCATTCTAAAGTTTGCACTCGTAATAATGCGGAGTTTTATTTTATTTTACCCCTGAACAATTCTGCTCTTTAGCAATAAAGTTTCATATTGGGATTGGTGTGTGATCTATACTTATTCTTCACGTTTTGAGCAGTCCCAGCTGATTGTCTTACATGCTCTACAGCAAGTTATCATACACAATATTTATGAAATGTATGCACTCTTTGCAAAATGTGATATTTTACACTATTGAATTAGCAGTATTCATGAAAAAGTTCACAAAATTTATGAACCATGTACATTTGCCACATAAATGAAAACATGTAACTTTATTTTTAGAATGAAAGTCACAAGTAGTGATGTAACGATTACAATTGACTCTTTTGCACGTCATTTAATTTTTTTCAATAAAGTGTTTTTTTCTTTTCTTTTTTCTTTTTTCTTTTCAATATTTAAATGAATTCACAAATTTTTAGCATGATGTTTGGTATTTGTGGCATTCTTGAAAAAATAAAAATATAAATATAATTGATATATAAACTCCAAGAATAATCAACAATAAATTTTAGAAACCTCCATACTTTTTCAAAATCTTTTGAAAATATTTTTGAAATAATTTGCGAATTTTTCTAAAAAGTTTTGGTTGTAAGACTTTAGAAATATAGGAAATAAAACTAATAACAAGTATAAATAAATTCACAACTAAGACAATTTTTAGCTTTACAAATTATTCTTTTAAATCTTAGTTGTTATAAGAGTTGCAGTATTTTCTTATTTTTTTAATGTAATTGTAAATATCAAAGCATTTTTCTTTATTTTTTTATTTTTTGTATATATATATATATATATATATATATGATATTATAGTATCTTAGATGTTAAAAATTATACACTTTTAAATTCATAATGTGCCAATTTTTGTAAAAGTCTTGTACTTTTAATAATCTTGCTATTGAAGTAATAAAAAAACAAAAGTATTAAAGTTTAAAGTATAAAAAATGAAAAGAAGTAAATAAATGCATATAAAAAATTAAGATTAATATTTCAACCAATAATCAATATATTCATTTATATAAGTACAAAGATATTACTTTTTTTGCAACAAACATACAAACTCTTTTTGGATTGTAGGCTCTTTTAGAACTTTTTATACTCTTTTAGATTTACTAAAATTTGAAGAAATTCTTAATATGATCTACTAAGAAGTTTAAGAAACAAGACTTTTTAAGAAGCTTCTTTTGATAGCTTGATTAAAAAGAAACTATTAAAATGTCTCTTTTGGTTGCAATAGAGGTGCAACACTAGAAGTTTAGATTAAAAGATTTTAGCCTTCCAAGTAGTATCTAAAAAAATTAGATTAAAGTTTTCTTTAACCTAATCAACTCCTCTCTTAATTATAATTTCTTTGCTAATTTGCAATCAATTTTGTACTTTTAAACAATACTATTTGAATCAAATTTTATACATCTTTTATCTATTTTAATCAAATAATTATTATACTTATAAATTATTTATTTTATTTTAAGGATTTTAGATTTAAATAAAATAAATAATTTAAAAGTCTTAAACTTCCTTCTTAAGATATTTAATAGTAATTTCAAAAGAAAAAACATTAAATTGTAGACTTTAATATGATATAATGTTGTATAAAGATCAAAATACTAATAGATAAATTCAATAATAAAGAGTCATATTATCTGTTTATCTATAATTCTCCAATAGAAAAATACATGCTTTATCATCTTAGTTAATTAGTTTATACTATGAACAATGTAATTATTTCATAATTAAAAATAGATTTAAAAGCCTACAAATACAATGATATGTTTCTATTTGATACATGTATTGAGAAATGTTTTTAAAAATAATTATTTGATTAATTGGTATTCATGATCCTCCGTATTTATGACCATCCGAAATTCCTATTAAAATAATAATGTCCAATACTAATTAAAATATATATACCTATATATATATATATATATATGAGTTAGAATTTGAACTCCTTAGAATCTACTCAAAACGCTTTTTGTTTGCTTATTCGTTGTTTGTGAAAATCAGTATGATTTAGTTTACTTAATGATTGATAAGTGTTCATTACTCATTTTAAAATAAAAATTTGCCTAGGGAGGTTTAAAGTAGATTTCGTGGGTTCATTTTGATTATCATTGCTTATAATAGCCATAATATCTTCTTTAAAGCTTTGTAAACAATGAAAAGAGTTGTAATAAATTCACACGTGTCACCAAAGTTAATTTTGTTCAGCACCAACAGTTCGTTTTCTATTTTTTAGAAAATATTTAACTTTATCCAAAATCGGTTTCACTCACTCAGAGAGCTACAGTAAAACTTTCAATTTAAAATAACCTAAAATTTTGTTTTGATGAAGGGAAGAATTTTATCTATCAAATTCAGGAATGCTCCTACAATGAAGAGAAATTTGAAGACTCTAATAATGGAAGACTTATTTGGAATCATATTATGATGATTTAAGAATTGTTGAGGCACAGCAGTGTTCCATCTTACACAAATTGGGGGCGTGATCTCTCACTTGAGAGCACACTAAGACTAGCTACCGTCTAAGCACAACACTGTCTGCAACAAGATTTTCTGGCCGCCGTTCGATCACTTCATCCACGAGACCAAATTGCTTGGCCTCCTCTGGAGACATAAAATGATCCCGCTCCATACTTGATTCTGCAAAAAGCCATTAAAACTACATTAGTTGTCTGCACTCATCAAGTTACTACCTGAGCAATCCTGGAGAAGAATGCACAGCTATGGAATAACATCATGGAGGTTGTTATAATCCACTTGGGTTTAACGTTCTAGAATTCTTCAAGTAGAGGGGAGAGTCAGCAGGAGAATGTCAGACGATCTGAATAACAAAACACTTGATTACATGTCTCATGGTACCCCCGCTGTCACAGTTGTTTGACTGGAGGTTCAATTTGCCAAAAATGTCATCATAATCAAATTTGAGACACAAACCCCAGAACAGTGTGATAACTTTTTAGCATTCCTTTCTTAGACTGGCATAAATTCGTCCCTGGAACCTTACTCCTGCTTTCATTGGTATTGCTACCAAGACTAGCACCCATCTACTTAAACAGAACTTTAACTGAGAGGACAAGGACGTACCAATCTTTTCATACGTGTGACCAGTGTGCTTCACATAGAGACGGCTGAGTCGCGCCCTCATATCAAGTATCTCACGAGCTTGAATAGCAATATCACTCGCTTGGCCACTGGCACCCCCGGAAGGCTGATGAATCATGACGCGGGCATTAGGTAATGAGCGTCTCTCTCCAGGTTGTCCTGCAGCTAGCAAAAGCGAACCCATTGAGGCTGCCTGTCCAACACATAGTGTACTCACTGGGCTTCTAATATACTGCGTCACAACACAAGTCACTATCACAGCATTAGGAGGCAGGACGTAGTTGTCGACACCTCGAAACTCTCCAATGTTCATAATAGTTGCCTTCAGAAAACTAAAAAAAAATCAAAATTAAAAATTTTAAAAAGTTTTAATGAAATATACATAAAATGAAATATTCTTAGGTGCAAAAATTGAGTCCTCGCAAGAGTTTCAGAGGCAAGGTTCTGATTAACACTCACTCTTGAATTGCTACATGTACTCCACCTCACATGAGGTAAAGAAGTTAATTTATAGGTATTAGGGTGAGCTTTGTAGAGTTTGTGGTCCAATGGAAGGTTGAAATGGGAAGACGTGTCCAGCTCATACCTGCATGGTGTCATAGATCGCAAGTCCCGCTGTCACAACACCCCCAGGGGAGTTGATGTAGAGATGGATCTGCAGTAAGGTCATCAAAGCTCTTTACATATCTCATTCCAATAATGTAACAGCAACATATCAAGACAAAGTACAAAGTGAAAATGATCCAAAGTTCATTGACATGAGATAGCAAATTCTTTAAAAAGCGACTCATGTATTTCATTTGCGCATATCGTGAATTTAAAAGGTTGCAATGTATCTTCAGTGTTCTAGCCATTTCTTCTGTAAGATGAAAACCCTAATCCCGAAAAACTAATTCATCAGCAAAAAAATAAAAAAATGTCAAACTTAATCCTCACAACAGTTATATCGATTTCCAATACTCCAAATTTTAAAATGATGTATCTAGATGTATTCGAAAAATCTACGACAGTAGCTCAGACCCTTGCTAAATAATAAAATAATAAAATAGGAGTATTGGGAAGTGACTTGAACAGCTCACTGCAAACCATTCATGACATGATTAAAAGACTTGAACATCTCCCCGATGTTACTCGAAGGTCTGGAAATTCGCTTTAGGAAAGAATCATTTGCTTTTAAATGACCGTGGTCGGTACACAGCGTCTGGTTTCGAGGGCAAAATTATGCAGTGATCCAGAACAGTCATCAACTCGAAAGACCTTACGCATTCCAATTCTCTCAATGATTGCGCTGGTACTATTTGACTATTATAGACAAAACAGGGACTAAAAACTCCGCATCGAGACCACAAAAAAAGGCACCCGGCATTCAATCCTGCCACATCCCTAACCACAAAAACCATGAAATCGGAATTAACTACCCTTAGAAGCTAGAACCTTATTCCCCAAATCAAAAGGTGCAGAACGCTCTTGATACGTGCCATGACAAGACGTGACTCAGAAGTCGAAAACAAAAGCAGAGAGGTAGAAACCAAAACTAGTTACCGGCTTATCAGGATGTTCCGATTCCAAATACAGGAGCTGAGCAACAACAAGGGAAGCGGTATCATCTGAGATCGGGCCATGAATGCACACAATTCGCTCCTTGAGAAGCCTGGAGAAGATATCATAAGCGCGCTCTCCTCGCGAAGTGTGCTCGATGACCATGGGCACCAGGCCATAGCCACGGCTGAATTGAGACAGAGATGAAATTGCTAAAGGAGACGACGGCCCGCTGCGGTTTCTGGTGAGACTGCAGCAGAGCTCCGCAGCTGCTGCTGTTGAGGCCTGCCATAGTCTACCCGCCCCTCTCATTCTCGCCGATACCACAACGCAAATCCGCTTCCAAATTGCAAAGCACCGTCGCTCTTTGCTCAATAGCAGGCACCAACGCGCCACTAACGCTGATTCTCACCAGAATTGAGTTCTGTGGCTCAGGAATGAATGAAAAGGACGAATCAGAGCTCCATGACGACGAAGTGGAGGAGAAGACGCAATGTTCGATCGAAAGAGGACGGTGAGCTCCGTGCGGGGGGAGGTTGGTTCCAATTCTGTCGCGCCCTTTCGCTCGATCGATCGATCGACGGTGAGCTACAATAAAGAAGAAGATGCAGAAGATCATAGAAAGGAAGCGCGTCCATGGAACCCTAAAGTCATGCCGACGAGCCAGCACCGGGTGGATGGATGGATGGATGGATTAATGAATGAAAGTATTGGATGGATATCTGGATAAACATTATAGATGGATGGATGGATGAATGTATTGTATTAAAAAACATGTAGGATATATCAATTGAGGATGTTGCATTAACAATTATCTATATATTTATATAAATACATTATATAATCTCTTTGATTATGATGTTCTTAATGCAACATCAACATCATGTTAAAGGTTTGTTAGCTTTGCAAAGATATCACATTTCAATATTTAAAATAATTGGAGGCTTTATGTTAATTGTGAATAGTAAAACTTTCAATTTATCTAATTTGGCAAAGTTTTCAAATCAAATTGAGGATTATATTTATGTGCTCAAATCTGCTCTTGACACTAATTCATTCATTCAATTAAACCCAATATGACAAGCTGCACCATGAATCCAAAATCAAGCAATTTCGATTTGAAATAGATAGCAATGAAGTACACATGGAGCTTGTCTCTGTTTAAAAAGATCATCAATTAACATACACTTTGTTCCACAAGCAAAAGAAACACATCACATATTTCAATTTGAAGTTTGTAAAATTTGATAGATCTCTCCCCCAAAAAAATATATAAAAATAAATAAAAAACTTGGAATACATGAAATTTTTTCTTGTACCAAAGTCATAAAGAGATGGATCATTTTATAATCTTAATCAAATAAAAAAATGAATCAAATGAAACATAATACCAAATGAACAAAAAAAGAAAAATTAAAAAAAATTAAAACCCATAAATACAACACCCATAATTGTGATAGTTTTGTGTTGATTGATATTATTGATTGTTATAGAATAACGACAAAAATTTCCATATGAAATTAATCGGTTGACTTGCCATGTAAAAGGGTCATGTACTAAGGTCTTAAGGTCTTAAGGATCATGATTTCCACCAGCTTTGGGGTTCCCATGGTTATTAATATACAGCCATTCTTATGAGGTCGGCGTGCACCCACACTATATTCCGTTCCTCCGTGTCCCACCACGTTGGATTCCCAACGCCACCTCATCGAATAAAATCGTCCACGTCATCCGCCAGTCGACAGCGCAGGTTCGAATACGACGACGACCACGACCACGACCTGGCCGATTTTAAACAGCTCCCCCCTATTTATTATTCGACCCCATGAGATTCCGGTGCTCGATTCGGTGATGGTTTTGCGTGTCGTCGTCGATCGCTCTTACCTTGGTCGCAACGCCAGGCGATTGCAGCAATGCGTTGAACACAAACTCTAGGATTCAGTTTCTGGAGTCGGAGAGGAGTTGTCAGATTGGTTTTCACTCAGCAGCAGCAGCAGCAGGTGGTGAGGTTGTTGTTGTTGTAGTTGTAGGGTTGTAGCGGCATCATCGTATTTGGACGAAGAATTCGGCAGTCTGAGGGAGGGAGGGATGGATTGGTTGCGGTGGTTGGGCCAACTGCTGTGCTGTGGGGAGGCGAATGGAGGAGATGAGAGTTGTTCGTAGGTGGAATGTAACTTTGACTTGGGAATGGCGACGTAGAAACAGAAGTAGGAGGAGATTGGAGGCTCGTCGTCACTGTTCGTGATGTAATTTGGGAATTTGTTTTACTCATTGCTTGCGGGTCAAGGCATTGCTACCTCGGCGTGGATGCAGCGCCAGAGACTGGTGTTGTAGGTGTGATTGAATGGTGTGTGTGTGTGTGTGCTGGGACGGCATTTCAGAATTTGAGTGCCGGGGATCGATGGATTTGGTTCTGGTAGGCGAATTTTGAAGTAGCTGCGGATTTTGGATGTGTTGCGCTGTGGAGCAGAGTGAGCTTACAGTGGCAGCAGATTGTGGACAGTGTCGACTACGTGTTTGGAGAGTATGCATTTGGAGTGTCTTGATTGGTGAGGGGAGTGGGAAGGTAGCTCATGCTGTTAGGGGGCGTAAGAGTTGAGAATCCGGTGTGTTAACGTTGGTCTCGAGGCGTGCACGAAATGATATCGTCGCGGTATGTGTGCAAAAAACCATTTGAGCCGACGGACGGAATGGCATCTTCTCTTGGTGAAAGGAAAACACCGACCGAACTCCGAGTATGGTCTCTTTTCTCTTTGCCACTCTTTCAGAGAATTCCTAGGACACCCGTGCTTTCAGATTAGTCTCACTTGCATTCGACATTACCTTGCAATGAGAGCTAAGGTTTTATCTCTTGTGACAGTTCTACCATTCTCGAACGTGGCATTATTAGCGTCGGTTTCTCTGCAGAGAAGGTAGCTGTGGCTGAATTGTGATTATGCTTTCGAGAACCGTAATCAGGTTACTTGCTGTAAATCTGGTGCAAGTCAATCAGGATTTGCTCGGGTGCTCTTTCGTGAATGCCCTCCCCCCCCCACCCCCCCCCCCCCCCCCCTTGTCAAAGTTGTTGCTGCAATTCAAAATAGTACAACGGGCCTTAATGTTGTCCTCCGTGGTTAGCCTTTGTGGAGAACCAACCAATATGCTTATGGTGAACCTCAATTAATTATTGCACGATGACCCTCTGTCAAAATTTTCAAGTGTCTGAAATGATGGTATCTGCCTCGTTAATCTCTGCGTTGGGATTAGGCGTAATATGCCCTGTTACGTCGTATTTATTTATTTATTGTTTTTTAAAGCTCTTTAAAACGGTAGCCTGTGTGGGGATGGATGTACTGTCAGTTAAGGACCATGATTTTCCTGAGCTTTGCGCTCAATACAAGGCATACTCATGTTAACGGATTAGAATGGGAGGCGCATCGTGATTTTCATGTCTAAGACTTTTACATGAGCTTTGTAGTTGCACGCATGAAGTGGGAAATTTGCACAAAATGAAGGCGTAGGCCACTTCGTCCGAGCATACAGTTTCTGCTGTATTCGTTCACCTTGCAGTAACCAGAGTTTGGCTATTGGATGGGATGGAGTTGGAGCAATTAAAGCGGCACCAGTCCTCTAAGGCTGGGGAACAAAACGACAAATCTGCACATACCCAGCGGTTTGTCTCCAAAGGCACCTACTTTGCTGTACTTTCCAGTTCTCGTTTGCACACCTGTTGCAGTTATTTCAATGAACTTATGACTGCAAAACTGATGTGTCTTTCTGATGGACTACAGTGCTCCAAGTTTTGGAGTGTAAATTCACCTAGTATTTAGCTTGATACTCTGGTTTATCGTCAACGTGTGTCAAGAACCGCCACTTCCTCAGCTCTGCATCGCGCCGCAGTAACTAACTGTTTCTTCCATTTTGTGATCTTTCGCAGATTTGTGGCACGGTCTGAAGACGCGGTTTTGCCGTCACGTATACTTGGTGATGCTGGAGCTGCAGATGTTCATGTTTCAGTCGATATTGGGGCGAATGTTCGACCCCCTCGATTTCGCAGTCTCAAAGGAAAGGTAGCGTATTGTAATCCTACGAAGTCGAGGATTATCTAGAGTGTATCGAGAATGGAGGTAAATGGTCGAACAGGAGTTCCCCTGTTTGGAGGTTCCATATTGATTGCAATATAATGGGTTTTGTTCTCCAGGATGATTCCTCGATTTCTGAACATGAGGTTAGTCAGTATGGAGTTTCTGCCCCCGGAAATGGCTGCGCAGATTCTGTCTCGTTGTTTTCTAGGTTCGTTGAATCACCACTTTTCTAACCGTAGTGCATACCTTGGAACTCCTGTTATCAAAAGGTGGCATTGGCTGCTTTAATTCTGAACTGCCATTTTGAGGTTTTGCTATGAGAAGATGTGAAGCACATGACCGTTTTTAAGAACCTGTTTGTGTCAGAAGTACCGTATACTTCCTGTATTTACCCCTCTTTGCCAATTGAATGGTTTGATACACTAGTAACGGTTATAATTGCTTTGAAAAATTCTTCTCTTATGCCGTCTTTCATCCTGATTGCGTAGATATAAAAACGGTAGCTCGTCAAATGGCTCTACGAAGGCTGTTGCACAGCGTGTTTGCGAAAAAATGGAAGATTTGCCTTCCAAGAGTGAGGAAAAGGTGAAAGGATTGCACGATAGTACTTTCCGTGACGTCAGAGACATCTCCAATTAGCAGCCTCTTCTAAAAGCTGAAGCAAGCATTGACATGGTAACAAAGCAATCCGATTTAGACACTTGCTTTCTTCAGTTCCTTATCAATCATACATGATCATGATCATTTCACTCATCGTCAGTTAAGTCTAGGTCGATACAAACCACAAGCAATTCAACTTCAGAAATACCTTTTCTTAGACCTTACTGTTCCACACATATTCCATGTATGACTAAGACTATTATTTAACGCGGCAATGTTTTATAATCTCGTGGTCCGTCGTTACTCACAGAAGTTCTGCTTTGGTCATATGCTCAGGTGGAAGCTTTGAAGATTTTAGAACCTCACAAGGCTTCGGGACAATCCAATTTTAATGCAGGTCCTCTTCCTACTGAGCTTCGCGGCAATCTCAACGATCAATCGACTGCAGATAATGGATTCAATACACGAGTTAATGTTCTCTCTAGGAGCAGATTACCTACCACATCTGGTCCAATGGAGGATAATCTGGCTTGGGTGTCTATCAGAGGAAGCCACGCTCCTCTAGATCTTAGTCTTAAACTCACGGCTCGTTTCTCTTCTCCAGATTCATTTCACTGGTGCGCACGCAGTCCGGAATATAATTATGATAAAGTAGAGAAGTTAATATTATTCTTCAAGCAGCGATATTCAGTGTCCAAGTAATACGATATTTCATTGTAAGCATACGTGTTTTGACCTAGTTTAATCCTGAACTGCTAGGATTGGTTCTTTTTGAACCGAATGGAGGTCTGGCATGTATTTGCTGCAGGTGCCACCGTTTGAGTTCAAATGTTCACTGTCAAGGTGTGCAACAGTTTTCACAAGGACTTGGAGTCATGAGTAGAAAATCAGACATCGTTCGACAGATGGCATATTCAGGACGAGATGCAGATGATGAAATGCGAGGAGCAACATTCTGGAGTTCACTGCATTCATGGGTTTATCCCGAGTCGACTTTGCCCCCAACTGTGCTATCTGTAATGTCTTCGGCTGGAGCTCGTGGAGGGGAAGAAGGTACACTTCAGCATTTTAACACCATGTCGGCTGGCAGTAGCACATTCTCTGCATCTTTCTATCATGATTATAGGCTTTCTGTTCTGGCTTCATATTATTGGCTTCATATTGTTCAGTTGCAGGCAGTAAACAGCATTCAGCAAATGGTTAGTACCTCACTCTGCTTTTTTCCTGTACTTATTTCACTCACTCATTCAATTCCTGCCTTTTTTGTGAACTGGTCAGAAGGGGCATTTCTTTCCAAAAGACTCCGTGCTTGGGATGCTGCATTTCGGTCGCTGTATTACAATTTTCGCTCCCAATTTCCCCCCGTGTTTTATGGTAAAATGTTTTACACACTTGCTTCAGGTGTCGCTCCTTAACGTATGTGGTATAGCAACTAAGTTATTTTTGCAGCTAGTATGCTTATGATTGTACTGTTGAAATCGTTGTGATAGGTTATCTGTGTGTTATTCGTGTGATGCATGCTACAATAATGCATTTACCTTTTCTATGAAAAATTTCGTGTAGCTCTCTGCAGTCTTGGTTCAAAAACATTATGAACTGTGCCTTGACGTGTCTCAACACAAAATTCAGGTTTGGAGCTATGGAACTGAGGGACGGACGCAATCATAATTTGGCGTATTTGGCGTGGGTGTAGTTTGTATGCAGCAATATGTTGCAATGTTTGTTGGTGGTGGAATTGGGGGAAGAAATCGAGATGCTTGCAATGCCTACCTGACCCGCTCAACTCGAGGAGTGCGAGAACTTCTTCTTGAACATGTAAAGTTTATTTGAAGGATGGTATAGCCTCTATTGTATGGAAATTTTTCATTATGTTGATCAAGTGTCTGGAAAAAGATTGATTAGTAGATATTCGTTTGAGATATAATTTGGTTTTCATGATTTCCTCGTAATTTTGTTAACCAAATACTTCGAGTGTTTGTGTAGGATGTCAAGTTCTCAATGCCTTTCAATGCGTCTGGAGAGCCCACGACTACAGGTGAAGACCTTCAAGATTTGTTCGAGTTTGAGAAGTCTAACCCTGACCAGGTGGGTAAGGAACATGACTTTGACCTTGATGCTCAGCTGTATTAAATTTGGCTCGATGCGCTTGATCATGTAAAGTTTTCTCTTTTCAAAGTTATTTCTATGAACCTATTGAGGTTCCACCTATTCTTTACTGCTGATCTGTCATTTTTGGTTTGTTGTTTGAAAGAATGCGTAATAAATGTTAGTGTAACTGATCCGTCAAATTTGCTATCCAGACAAGAGTGGCTAATGAAAGAACAGCTTCAGACAATAGTCCACAATCAATGTTGTGCTTTGAAGGTTCCTCTGATGTACATCGATTTTATGATTTCCTTCTTAATCACAGGTAGCAGCTTGAAAATTTTTCATTCTCATAATTTAAGCTGTAAGAACTCGAATATTTAGCAAGTGCATAAGCAGCATCTCCGTTTTGTTTGTTCTTTTTGCAAAAAAATGTGGGAGTATGCACTTTGTGCCAATTAAAATTTTGAAGTTTTCTGCTCATCCCCTGTACTAGAGAACATATTGTGTTGGATTAGAGGGTGTGATATTGGTTTCTTTTGAACCAACTTGTCTTACCCCACTTTCTTTTTTCTATTTTCATTTACTGGAAGCCAGATCTCTGTTAAATTCCACGGCTGCCATGGATGTTCCGGTCCTTTATGCGCCAACGGCTTTCGATAATGCATCTCTGAGTGTTCTTGAGGTGAACCTCTCTCCTGAAACCACCAATTGTTGTGAAATCATATTTGTGAGCTCAACTCTCCGGGTATATTTACATCTTGCAGTTTTTTAGTGAGATCAGACTATGTTTGCGGAGTCGGTACAAACAGTCGTTACCTCCTTCTGACCTAACCTTGCTCTACAGATTACCTGCAAACAACTGAAACGTTCAGATGGCTGTATTCAGCCTCAAATACGTGATGATAAGGTGAAGGTCAGTCGGAATAGTTCAGAAACAGCTAGCGATACAACGTACATAATGGAGACCAAAGGGTCCTTCCTTCCTCCATGGGTTATCCTACGATTGTGTACAGTAGTACAAGAATCCCAGCCTCTCGGTTTCTCTGCACGGTAAGTTAATGCTAATGTTCTATCACTTTGTATGTTTATTTCTTTATTTAATCACTCATTTTTTTGTTTGTTATGGTGCGTGATTTGATTTTTTTTTCATTACAGAGCTTGCCTAAATCTCCTAATGACTTGGGGTTGCCATAAGGAACGTTATCTAAATGACACCTGCATGTCCATCTCAAAATAATCCGAGGAAAATCCTATGTCATGTGGGGTATTCACTTGTATTATTAGATATATTGTTTGGAATCTAACACGAGGATCTTGCTACTTCAGATTCGTGACAGAACCTCTCACCATGGGGCTCAACATAGCCCAAGGAGAGATAACCCACAATGCAAATGCTGCGAGCTTCAAGAGTTTTTTCTCAAAATCAAATGGTGTTACAAATTGTGATACGATATCTAAAACAAAGACTGAGTTCTTCCCTACGTCAGAATGCGATCATTCCTCTGGTTTAGGGACTGCTGTCGTGAAGGAACTCAGATATAAGGACAATTCTTACAAGGTATCTTTAGCGCCTCTTCAACTGGCAACTTCCCTTTGAGATTCAAACAGGATCCTTCCAGAATTGATTTGTAACCATAGTTTTCCTGCAGAAGTGCCTATCTAATTTATGCAATACAATGAATCATGTATGCAACATATTCCCTGAGTGACCAAGATGGGGCATAGTAGCAGGGCCAAGCTGGTTTTGCACTTAGTACTCAAATATTCATTTATTTTAAACAGCGTTTGAGAACTGCGTATCTCCTTAGTGTTGAACTAAAATACGAAATTCAAACATAAGATTCTTCTTTCGAAA